CTCACTAAGTGCTTACATATTCTTTTATCTTCTAATAATTGAGAAACTTATCTCTCCTCTTGCTTACGTAGTTAATATTTGGAGTAAAAACACCGAAACCGACATACCACCCGTGTTTTTGGGCTCTAAAGCCCTCTGTTGAAGGTGTAAAGTTAAAATTTCTATGCACGGCTGCGATACTTCAACCGCTTGACTTAATGAAAATAGAAGGATCTGTGAGTTACGTAGAAATGGCGAAATATTTTTTTATGAATATCGGTCGGATATCCCAGGCAGCATTGATGCTACGTAAATTTGGAATCGACCCCTCGCGTTGGAGCGACGTCTGCTAGACGTTGCGCTCTCGCAAGATAAATGTTGCGCTCTCGCAACGCGAGACCTGATCTTATTCTCTCGTAATAACGAAACTTTCAAAAGAATTCTTTCAAAAGGGAAACACAAATATATAGCTGTACTATTCCAGAGAACAGTCTTGAATCGAATTACAATGTATACTTCCGTTCCTCCCGGGCGTGAACAGAAAGAAACGCATACTTCTCGCAAGTCCGTCCGATTGCGCGCCGACGCAAGAAGTTAAGCTTCCCCCCGCGATTCGGAGGGCACACGACTGAGAAGATGATGTTCGCGTCGGTAGAGTTTCGGCATACGTGTCGCTTCGCTCACCTGCACGTCCTCCAAGTCAGTTTGCAGCATGTTCAGCGTCGTGCGGGCGTTTCTCAGCGTATCCGTGCCTTGGTCCACGGTGAGCTGAAGGTACTTCATGAAATCTTCGTGCGCGTGCTTCTCGTGGTAACCGATGCAGCAGTCCTTGCAGTACGGCTGGCTACAAGTGAGACAGTAACGCTGCTGGCCGACATCGTGGATGTTTCGCGAGCAGTGGGACGGCGGTCTGGTCGACGGCACGTTGACCATGTGCCAGGCCGACGATGTGCTGGGTATATCAATCTGATCCGTCGAGATAATGGCCTCGTTATCGAGCATGTTCGATGTCACGAAGGGGGATGAATATCCATTCTATCAAACATTCGTCATTAAAACCCCTCAACCTCTCACCCACCTCCTCTTTGTTACACACTCAAATTGACATGATTTATCTCTACAAAACGCCCACTCATTTTATCATTTACATATCGTATATAATACAGAAATGCATTTCGATATATATCTCGATTATATTCTTATCTTTCGATCGATATTGATTATCCGGCGTCTCGCGAAGGGGTGGGAATTCAACTTAAATATCGATTATAGTTTCGGTATTGCGCGGAGATCCGGCGAGCTCACCGGGAGTTGCGGATTCATATTTACTGCAATCTCCGTTCATAAGCTTCGCAAATTGTTCCGGAGTTAACATGCTTTATAAATGTGTATTCCCACAACACGAAGACGGGCCTCGCTTCTTTTCGAAGCCTGCTGTCTAAATTAATCAAATTAATATTTCGGTCATCGCACAAAAAAGCCGCCTTCAATATCTCAAGCACATTTTCGCTTCTCCCGTCTTGAAGGAAGTGATAGTGCGAAAAATATTGCCTCAACCATCCGGGTACATCCACGAGCGGGCGATTTAAACACGCTTAGCGAAGACTACAATATTAAGACATCCTAAGACGTCTTCTAGACATACTCGTTGCTTAGGAAGCAACTGCCGATCTAACAATATCAGCCTTACCGATTCATGCCCGGGGTTGCCGTTGTCGTAAGGTCGCACCATCCTGCATCTGTTGTTCTCCGCGTCCGTGGAAACCACCGAGAGATGAAAATATTTCGAGTCTGCCGGCTTGACGTCCGTTAGATTGCCGTTGGTCGAGGAGACTGTCGTGTTGTTGTTCACGATGTTGAGCGCACGCGAGAAACTCAGCGGGCTGTCATGCGACAGGCCCAGCGGGCTGCCGCGCGAAAGACCCGGTGGGCTTGTCTGCGAAAGGTACGGCGGACTGGCGGTCAACAGTTCTATCGGACTGTCGGTCGAAAAACGCGTTGTGCTCGAGATGTCCGGCGGGCTGTTGCGCGCAAGGTACGGCGGACTGACGGACAGGCCCTGGACTGGGCTGGCAGGCGAGAAACGCGACGGACTGTCATTGGAAAAGCGTCGTGGACTGGTGCCGGACAAACTAGACGGACTGGTGCGCGTGAAGTCCGACGGAGTGGTGTGCGACAGGTATGGTGGACTGGCGGTCGGCAGACTCGACGGAAGGGCGGTCGAAGAACCCGACGAGCTGGCGCCCGATCTGCTCGGCGATCTGCTTGTAATCTGGAAGGTTGTCATCTGGTTACCTCGTCTGCAAACTCGATCGTCGAGGTTCGCCCGGTGAACGTCGATTATCGGTAACATTACATTAGCACTGCGCATTAATTATAACGTAATCGATGTTATAATTTCCCAATCAACGATGCGGGTGTAATATAATATGCGTTGTATATGACGGTTACATTTGAGTCGGGAGATTGTAATATTGATGTCGTGTTATTGTTGGCTGATGTTTAATGGGATGCAATGAGTTTACACGTGCCAAATTCGCGCTTCCGTTAACGGAGAATTGGAATGTTACGGACGGGTCGCGGGGGAAATGGTGTACTCACCGGTGCGAAGGAACAATTTGTTTTCTGCTCGGCTCTCTGGTAAATCTTGTCGATGGAAATTTCCGGTATCAGCCGGCTTATCGGGTTGTAGAAGTCATAGAGACTCGAGGCCGAATTGTAGTTTTTGTCGAAACTCATCGTGAGGCAGGGGGATCACGCTGTTGAGAACTATTTGTCTGAAACGAAAGTCACGAGGGAAAATTGACAAAACGTTGGTCGAAATGTCCCGGCGTCTTCTAAAGATGTATCAACTGTAACGCCGTTCCGTTCTCGATCCGAGCGCGCGGTTTCGCTCGGCGCTTCTCCCGTGAAGGAGAACAGAAATCGCGAGCTCGAGGAATAGGATGCGTCTCTTGCATCTGGTTGGAACCTTAGGGAAATCGATAACCGCAGATAATTCGGCGTGCAAACGCACGTGCATGCATCCGAGCACGTGTACTTGCACGCACGTGCGGTTATTGCGGCTTTATTCGTATAGACATACCGCGGTTTAAATGAACCGCACGAGTCCACATAGGATCGCACGGAGTCACCTCATTCGGCCTACGATGCGTTCGTCTCAGAAATTTTCAGTACAGTTATTATTATTCCAAAGACTTTCAGCAAATCTCTCTATTTTCGCTTTGTGCAGTTCCAATGTCTTCAATCAGAATGACTGGCAAGAATTAAAATATTTTTTTGCACAATAGAAAAGTTCAAAACATGTCTCAGAGAATGCGGACAGATTCGGGAAATGTTGAAGTAATTTTACCGTCACTGTTTATCGATTATTAAAGCATCTAAAGGTGTGCCTTTTTACATTAATTAACAATAGAATTAGTGACGTGTGAAACAAGCAACAAAAAATTGACAATAACAAATCGGCAATCCAGGCATATAATTAAATAATAATAAAAGATTAATATAAAAATTGAAGAAGAAGTTCTTGTGGATGTGTTGAAACTCATCCATATTTCGTTATATTAATTTCGTCACTACGTTTCTCGACGATGTGTCCGATTAAATTTGTCGATTGATTACACAAGACACACACCGCTCACACGATTCGTTCTCTGTCCGATTTTCCAGTTTTTAAATCATAACGGAGGCAAATATAACGCGACAACATATAACGACAAAGTTACACAACGCTTGAAATTCGAAGATCGATAAACTCCTTTCGGCCAGCATCAACGGTCGTTTGTTGTCGTTCTCACCTTGTAACCTCGTTGATAGCGCATTTCGAACAGTTCGATTTTGTCTAGACGATCTTTGTAACGAAAACAGCTGTTGCTGTTCGCGCAAATCCATACCGGCTTCCTGTACACACTAGACTAACCGACCGCCGGGTCACGTCTTGTTGACAAAAATTTATTTTGCAATCGCGACGAATGTCACCTCGCATACTATCCGAATAATACATAGTGTCCCGTTTCTATCGTATTACTTTTTCACCACGGATATTCCGAATAAATCGAAGTCGAATTTTTCGATGTCAAAATGTTAAGAGGAAATTATCATTTGTTGCAGCTCGTCGGCATTGTGTATTTCTCTCACTTCCAACAATTTGCTTTAAATGAAAATCTCATGAAAGCTGAAAGTAATTGAAGAATGAAAGATCACGATTTATTCTTCGATTGCATGACCGGAAAACAAAGTTATTTTCAATTGCTGATCCTTTAGAAACTGCACGTACTTTGACATTTTTGCTATATGAAATTCGACTGCAAATTGATCAGAGATACTGTTGAAAGGTCATTCTGTAAAATCGATGTAACCCACGTGCGATGATCAAATTACAGACAATTAAATTTGTTACAATGACTGTCCGTTTTCACGACTCTTCTGTGTTATTTTGGTTGTGTAATTTATGTTTTTAACTTTAGAATTTTATAATTTATCTGGTCAAACGTGCCTCTGTTTTTATTAATTGCTCGGATAAAGAAAAAGAGATGTGCGATTTTTCACGCAGTATATATATACATATATATATATTATCGTAGAAATATTCGGTTTCCACAAATAAAACCAAATCGATCACATCCCAAGATCTACTATGTAACATCATTGATTAGTATAGCCTTCAAATATTTATGTGAAACCTGGTTTCGGCCAGAATTTCGATCGCCTCAGTACGTTTAAATATTGAAGCAAGAGCTACGATAACCGTACGTCCTTCAAAAAAGTCAGGCCTTACTTTTCCCGGAATCTTCAACTTATACGTATAATACGTAAATACGCAAAAAAATATATAAGCACATTATATAAAAATATGTTATATTGTATAATATGTTATATTGTATAATATAATAACATTTAATCGTTAAATTGTGCGGAAATTGCGTGTAAACTCGCGCTCGGGACAATTTGCTCCCTGTATCGCCATAAATATACAGCGAGTGCGTCAAATCCACATTAATCCGCAAGCCGTATGTACCGTGCGTTTCGCGTACGCTTCGTATCGGGAAAGGAAAATTACATTCGGTTTTACCTCGCGTCTTTTCCATCCGCGTTATCGCGCGCGAGCGTCGCGGAGTGTCCCCGTTCCGCGACATTGAAACTCGAACAAGAGCGAAAGTGGCGGGTGACGACGTTACCCGGCGCTGGCTAGTGAAAACGAAAACAGGGAACTTGAACTGTTCTCGCCGAACGTGGACGTTGGGTATCGCTTCCGGACACGACGACGAGAGCGAAGGAATTCTTTTCGCAAATTGCCGATAATGCGAACTGATTCGGGACGGGTGAATTCGCCCGACGGCGGGGCGCGTTCGCGAAATGCAACGGTATCGAATGAGAAGCCGTAAACACGATATGGTGGCGGTGAGCACGTGGAGAACGGTTGAAATGCGAATTAATCAACGCGGCTCACGCGTGTGATGAGCACTTTTGCGCGGAACGTACAAAGGAAAACGCGAGAATACACGTGCGTAATTATCGTCGCGACGCTTCCCGCATCGAATCTGCGGACAGTACATTCACAATGTCCATTCGATTTCTCACCGGCTTTCATCGATTCGAACACGCGAACGTGACTGATGTCCAGTAACCCGCACGAGTACAAAATCTGCGATCGAATTTGCAACAAATATTACATCGTTATCAATCTTGCAGTATACACGATACGCGCTTCTCGTTTCATTTCACTTCGTGTTCTTTCTCTCTCCCTCTCTCTTGCACAAACTTTTTCGACTTCGCGACAGGCCAGTTTTTGTTTTTACACCCCCCCCCCCCCCCNCGTGGCAGGTAGGGAATTAGTACGTCTTTGAAATCGCCATGGCGACCAAGGTCAGAGCCGCTTTTCCTCTCGAGGGTCAGGTAGAAGGAGAAAGCAAAATGTCCGATAACGTGCGCACAGGGTGTGTTGCGTGCGCGAACGTACGAATGCTCCCGCGGGGATGTGCCGGATCCACCGATCCAGCGATATTTACGCGACACGCGCTACGGAGGGCGGCGGCTGCGACAGTGTCGGGCGAAAAATGTCGTTTTCCATCAAATCCGCCCCGTGGCTGATTTCGCATCGAACGGAAATTCTGCGGGAATTCCCCGTCGAAATTTTCCGTCTGACTTCGCGCCGGGGCACGCTAGGCGGTCTCCGTTCTTTATTGACATACGATGGAAACGTGCCACGAGATAACGCACAGGTCGTTTCAGAAAAATATGTATCTGCATGTATATATCTATACTCTTTCTTTCTCTCTCTCTCTCTCTATCTCTCGTATGTACAGATTAACACGAGACACCCTGTCACCGTGTGTGACACACATACGTACCTTGTGGTCTTGCGAGAAGGTGGTGAGGCTAGCTGCCCGAAACGCCGACTGATTGACGATGACACTTTTCGCAATGTCCCCCGAAACGGTCGAATTTTATTTGTGCGCTCTTTGATTCACGTCACAGTGGAAACCCCCAATGAGACTTCTATTCGTCTGTCCCACTCTGCGCGGCATTCCCCTCACTCCTAGACCGAGCCGTCTGTCGCCGCGTCCCGCAAAGTCTGCGGACTATTTGTACCATCCTAGATCCTAAATACTGTTACAGGTCCATTTGCCTTTCCTTCGACGGCTTTGCACCTCACTCGCGTGAAACGGAGAGAGAGAGAGAGAGAGAGAGAGAGGAAGGGAACGAGTAATTTAGTATACAGCAGCGATGTCTTTATTGCGAAGTTAGAAACACAGTGAATATCTGGGGTTTGTATGTTACAAAAATTCAGTACCTGAAACGAACCTCGAACTGCCACCCTCGCTCGTTTAAGCGTCTATTTCCTTTCTTTGGAGGTAAGAAAAGTGAGGAGATCAGGGAAGTGAGGGAAGCGAGAGGCGGAAGTCGAAAAATGTTTTTCTTTTTATTTATTGCGCCGCTTACGCTTGTAAACTCACGGGGCATAATTATTGTTCCTTACCCGCTTTCTCCGCTTTGTTGATTCGACCGCTCGCAACTGGACAGGCAGGGAATAAATTATTCGCTCTTCCTTTCCCCCCGACTTCTTCCACCCTCTACACCCCCTCTTTCTCCCTCTATTTGTCATAGTTCTTTCTCGGCTAAATAATCCCACCTTCGTGCTTAGTTATCGGATTCATTAGTCATCGCAAAAACGCCTTTATTTCTTCGACCACATCACGTAGTTCTTTGAAGACTGCATAAATTGATGAGGATGATAGAAAATTCAGCGGAATCGCGTCAAAAATACCTTGATTATTGATCGTACATATATTTGTCGTACGAATTGTAAAACGTAAAATTTCGTTACTGTACAACCGAGCTTTACCGAGGTTCAAGTTTAATAAGAATCAGATAAACGGTGTACAACATAATTGATTATACGCCCGAAATCGTTGGCCGAATAAATCATTGTTCGAAACTTCTGTTATAGTCGGGCGAGACGACCGCAGCCGAGAAGCAGGAACAGCTGTTTTCGGGGCGAATTCGGAAACCGGTTCCGAAAGGAAAACCCAGAAACGCGGGTCGCACGTTTGTTTTCCTCGCGACCCCGTCGCGAAAAGGTCGCCCGCCTTTTCGTAGCCGGTATGCAGCCGAAACGGCGAAAACGGCAGCCGTCTAACGTCGCCGTTGGAGGGGTGCTTCGTTATCGCTTATCGTTACAATTATTATAATAGTTCGTCAATTGCGCGAGGAGAGCGCACTCGTTGTTCCCGATCCCAGTCCCTCGTATCTTTTGTAGTCGTGAAACGCCGGAGGATTTATTATGTGGTGTAATTCCGGCTCTCCTCTTCCCCGAGTTTACATCGACCGACGAGCGTCGCCCACGCGATGTTACGCTATTACGTAAATACACTCTCTTCTGCGCTGATATTGTTAGAAAACTGGCGGTTGTTCGCGCTTGAGTCCGCCTCGCGACTCATACTGTGTGATATCAATGATATCGCTGCATCCTTTCAAGCCGACACACATATACACACACACACATATATATATAGATATATATATATATATATAGAGAGAGAGAGAGAGAGAGATCACAGTTGAGATTACAATCTCGTTCGCGTGTAATTTCGCTCGATACCTCGCAGACGAGGGAACAAGAGCCTCGGGGGGATTTTCAAATAGATAGAATCGGATAGATTTCTGAAACACGGAGAGACCAATTTCCGTTTCTTTGATCTCACTGCCGAGTTACCATCGCCAACACGCGCTCGTTTCACGCGCGTTGCTCCGCGAGATCCGCGAGATCCTCGAGTCCTGGGGGAAAGAGGGGGAGGG